CCCCAAAACCCCAAAACCCCAAAACCCCATAAATGAGGATAGAGTTGAGGATTTTAAAGTGGAATAAAAGATCAAATTCGACTATAATGATTAAATTTATCAAAATGAGAAGAAGGGCTCTACGAAACACCAAATTAAGAATTCTTCTATTTTCTACTTTCATTTTGTTGAGCTTCTAAGAGCCATTATTATCTTTAAGCGAGACAAAAAACTTGAATAAAAACATTTATCATAAATAGATGACTGAAGGAATAGGGGAGGATGAAAAGCTCTATACTGATCAAATCTTTGATGAAGACACATTCTAAAATGCAAATAACTCTAATAATTCAGTTATCAATAATTATGTGCATGAGACACTTAAGATTGAGGATTAATTGCCTATTGACTTATTTAACCTTACAAATGATGAAATTGAAGATGATGGAATTAATAGCTCTGAAGAAGATGAACATCAGTAATAAAAGATAAAAAAGTCTATGCAGATAGGGCAATAGATGAATAGAGAGAATATGATTAAGATGAGTTAAATTGCTCCGTTTCTGAATACTACTCATGGCTAGTACTAGTAGCCATTTAAAGGTGGTTGGACAGCTGTCAATTCTTCTTAGCCTGTAATGTCCTAAACATTTGATATTTTTATTGTAGTTGAATTAATACTTCGAAAACACCAAAGGAAATGCAACTCTGTTGTTTAATTTAGTCTCCTATGACTTTGAAGAGAAAAAGTACTCATACTCCCTCACAAGACATGTCAACAATAATACTGTCTACACTAGGTTTGAAATCAAATTAATACTGCAAGACTACATATATCTGGATAACTATGTACAAATAGAAACAACTAGCATTTTAGGTTATGAGCCTTACAACAAGATGAATTTGGATGTTAATCATAGGTAAGATGACATAGCTAGATTTAAATATTTCTAAATATAGTACGATGGGATATCATAACTATCATGGAATCGTCAAAGAGGCATCATTGCTTACTATAAATAATGCCAAGAGTAAGTTTATCTCGTTACATTTATTTGCTTCAGATTGCTCATTGAATATGTCTTTTTAAATCCAAGATATTACCGAACAATACGACATGAAAGATCACATTTTCCATTTGATTCTCTCAAGTAATGATGAACACTAACTTAATGATAAGGTGTATAAGATTAACATGCTGCTTGACAATGCTGATACTAATAATAAATGCTTTCCAGGACCAGTGAAAGGTGAATTCTACAATGTAGACTTCTCGGTAAGTGATTCATGCCCTATTGATAATTGTTTAAAATTAACCATATTCTAACGCCTTTATCTAGAATCCTAAGGCCAAAATATTCAGGTATTGTATGACGTACATGGGTCTTACTATTATACTAATCTATGCAATGGTCTTTGAGTATGTCAAGATTACTTAGGATCAGAGAGAAAATGCTCAGAATATTTCCTTAATATCACTGGGAGTGCATTCAATTTGGAATATTCTATCATTGATCATTCATCTGATTCTCTCATACTAGCTATTCAGCAATTACTCCAAGATGATTTGGGCGCCAGTAGTCTGCAACATGATTCTTCACTTTGTGATTTAGAGGAAATTGATAGTCGCAGTTTGGAAAGCTCAGCAAAGTTACTTTATTGTGGAGTAGGACATGCGCAACAGTGAGATGAGGTGCTACAGCAGATACTACTTCTTCGTCTTTTTATTCCTAATATCGGTCTACAAGATCCTCACCATTGACATACTAATGGTTCTGTTCTTTGGAACTATATGGATTCCTTAGATTATACTAAATCATGTAATGGGCTAGCATTCCAGATATCATCTCTCCCCAGGATTCATATTATTCTCCTCTGCTCACTTTATTTTCTTTCCAGTATAAATCATTATATTGACAACTATAGGCTTATATGAGAGGCTGTCCTAATAACATCTTCATGACTCAACCCCACAACTCAACAGTTGTTATAATAGTCACATCAATTACCTTGCAGATATTTATACTCATAGTCTAAGCTATCAAGAATCCAGTGAGATATCTACCGAGAATGATGCGCAGACGAGTCAGGAGGATAATCAGAGAAAGAAATCGTAGGATTAGAGAGTTTAATGGATCTCATTAGTATTTCATTAAGTTTAAGAAAGCTGTAGTCCAAAAGAAGAAGAAGTCTAATAAGAAGAGAAACTAGCATGAGATATTAGATGATCCTCTTGAGCTAACGCAGGAAGTAGCAATTAAGAGTGGAGACGCTGAAAATCAGTCTGCACAGAGAGAAATGACTGAGGAGGAAATTAAAAATATGGACTGTGTAATTTGCCTAAGTCAGTTGAAATAGCTACCCTGTGATGTGAATCCAGATGGCACAGTAGCTGCAGGAGTTGAGATAGTACTAACTAAAGGGTACATGCAAACTCCTTGTAACCATAAATTCCACAAGAAATGTCTCCTTTAATGGATGAATATGAGGATGGAGTGTCCCACCTGCAGACAGAGACTTCCTAGAATTGAGTTATACGACGACTTAGGATCTGGATCTGATACTGATTCTGATTTGGAAATGAATTATAGACGGTGAGTGCTTGTAGTTTGGATATATCAAAAGTACTAAAATGAAGGTCTTAATATTTTAACTTTAAGATTTATTAATCAATCTTGAGATTTATAAATGATGGGGTTTTGGGGTTTTGGGGTTTTGGGG